TATTTCTTGACCTGGATGGCAGTTACATAGGTGCTAGCTTTATGATTATTCTTGAAACTGTTCTACTCTGTCCTATATGGTCGCTATTAGAATTACCTTATCAGAATCACCTCAATGGCAGTGGCTTTGGTTTTTTCAGTTTTCTATGTGAACAGCATCTCACAGTACATCCAAACAGTGGAATACTAGGCAGTCAGTAAAAAGAAGGGGGAAAAAAGGAGCTTTATATGTAGGAGTCCCTGGGTGGTACAAATGATCAATGCACTTGGATAGTAATTGAAAAGTTGGGGGTTCAAATCTACCCAGAGTTATATCAGAAGACAGACCTGGTGATTGATTTCCAAAAAGTCAGCCATGGGAAACCCTATGGAGTGTAACTCTACTCTGACACACACCATGAGCAGGAAGGCACTGACTCAATGGTAACTGGAGCTGGATCTGTGAATATGGAATGGAGTTTTGGGAAAAAACAAAACAAAACAAAAAACACTACCTTTTGTGTAAAAAAAAAAAAAAAATCTTTATGTCTGCCTATGTGCTCATGTCTGGTTAGACTCTCTAGAAAGATACACACAAGACTCTGGTAACATGGGTAGCCCCTGGGAAGGGGAACTGGGCAGCTGTCTATCTTTTTGGACCTTCTGAATTTTGTCCCATGTGCATGTATTAGTTATTTAAAAATAAAATAAGTTTTTAAAATTTTGTTTCTCATTCACTGGAGTCTCCACAATTTTTTTTTTTTTTTTCAAGCTGATTTCCTGCCAATGAGAGTGAGAGGAGCCACGGCCCAGGCCTAAATCCCCCCTGAGCCCCAGCGAGTCAGGGACCCTGTCTGCCACTGTTTTCTCCAGGAATGTGCTCCATCAAGGAGCCCTGGTGGTACAGTGGTTAAGCACTTAGCCGCTAAGTAAAAGGTTAGTGGTTCAAACCCACCCAGTGGTTCTGTAAGAGAAAAACCTAGAGGTCTGTTCCTGTAAAGATTACAGCAAGAAAATCCTAGGGGGCACTTGTCCTCTGTCATATAGGGTCTCTATGAGTAGAAATCGACTTGATGGTCCCGAACAACGAAAGGAGCTGCGGTGGCACAGTGCGACAGCACCAAAGCCCATCACCTCCCAGCCACGGTGGTCCCTGGCCCCCCTGACCTCCCCACTGTCCTCTCCTCTGTCCTCATCTCCCTCCGCCCTTGCCCTGTTCTCTCCTTTCTTGCCTCTTCCTCTCTAGTCTCCTGTTTCTCACTTCTCTCTGCTCCCTCCTTTGACCCTTCCTCCTATCTTGTTTCTCTTTCCCTTCCTCCTCTCCTCGTTGCCCTGTCCCCCTCCCTGACCCTCCTGCCCTCTTCAGGCCTCTGCTTTTCAATCCCTTCTTTTTTCCATCTCTTCCCTTCCCAGAGACCCAGAAGCCAGGTCACCCCCAACAAGCTGAATGACCTTGGGCAAGTCCCTGACTTCTTGAGCCTCGGCATAACAGGTGGTTGTGTCAATTAAGTTTGATCCCAAGGGTGAAACCACCCAGTACGGTACTGGACACACAGTAGGCATCCCCCCAAAATTGTTTTTCCTTTTCAAGAAGTTATTAGCCCTGGAGTTGTAGATGATCTGACCCTTCCTGCTCTTCTTCATTACTTAGAATTTGGGTCCTCCTACTCAGAAGGATTTGGAGGGGAGCAGAGGGTCTCAGGGATGTGAGGAGGGAGGAAGAGGCCTCTGTGTACCTTGGGAGGAGGGGGAAGGTTTGCTGCGGTGTGAAGGGACTCAGGACTCTGGTGCTACGTAGAGGGCAGGAGTCATTCTGCCCATTTCCAGAGACTTCTGGCCCTGGATCAATGTCTCTCTTTATTTTTTGTGTTAAATAGAAGACAGTTTAATGGCTACATGCTTGGCTGCTAACCAAAAGGTTAGCAGTTCAAATTCACCCAGAGCTTCTCAGGACAAAGACTTGACAATCTGCTCCCATAAAGGTTATAGCTTAGAAAACCCTATGCGGCAGTCCTACTCTGTCCCATGAGATTGCTATGAGTTGGAATTAACTCAATGGCACCCAACAACAACATACATGTAACACAACATTTGCCATTCAACAACCGTCACGTGTACAATTACATTCATTTTATTCAACCATTCCCCTTAACCATTCCCAATTTTTTCCATCACTCCTTGGATCTCTTTTATGCGCTTCCGTCCCCAGGACTAGGCCAGACTTAGGACAACAGAATTTCTTCCCCTGGGACCACCCATGAGACGTAGGCCTCAGGAACACACTGCCTACCTTCTCTCCTGCCTGCACCCACTGAGATGGGCACCATGCTCCCTGCTTAAACCAGCAAAGGTGCTTGACTTGGCACTCAAGGGTCTTTGCCTCCCTGTCCTGCCTTGCTTCCTGCCTCTCCTTCACCAGGCATAAGGATGGGTGGCCCACTGTTCCCTGGTTCTTTCCCATCTCCTTGCCTTTGTGCAGACAGATTCTTCAGCCAGCCATGCCCTTTCCCTTGGATGCTTTACTTAGACTACTTCCTCAGCCTGACCAAATGATTTGCTTCTCAATGAGCCCAGCACCTTCCTATGTGTGTGCCACCACCATGCTATCTGTTGACATGTTTGTTCTCTCTGTAGGCTTGTAACTCCTGGAGGGCCGGTGCATGCCTCATTCATGTTTGTACCTCTTTACAGGGAGCCCTGATGTGCAGGGGATTAAGTTTGATTAAGCACTCAGCTGCTAACTGAAAGGTTGTCACTTCGAACCCATCTAGCAACTACTGGGAGAAAGACATGGTGATATGCTCCTGTAAAGATGACAGCTTAGAAAACCCAATGGAGCAGTTCTACTCTGTCACATGGACTGTGAGTTGGGATCAACTTAATAGGACCTAACAAACAAACTAAGCAGCTCTAGTGGCAAAGTGCCTAAGGCATTTGACTGCTAAGCAGAAGGTTGGTGGCTCAAACTCACCAGTCACTCTGTGGAAGGAAGATGGGGCAATCTACTTCCATAAAGATTTACTGCCTCGGAAACCCAATGTGGTTCGCTGTGAGTCGGAACTGATTTGATGGCAGTGGGTTTGGTTTGGTAGGTAACAAACAAGCCCAGGGTCCATCAAGGAAAGGTTTCATCAAGTTGGACTAAGTGATGTCCTTTGACTGGATTATCCAAGACTACTGAACAAAAGAAACTGTACATAAAATTAAAAATCTCTAATTAAAAAAAAAGCTAGTGATTAAATGAATAAATGAGTGAATAAACAAGCACAAAAAAACTCCAAAACCAGACAATAATGAATAATGCATGAGTGAATGAAAGAACACATCATGCCGGACCTGGTTCTCATGGAGTTGACCATGGTCCCTTCCCACACCAAGTCACCTGGGCCTTGTAGAAGCAGGGAGTGAGGACGGAGCTGATGCCAAGTTGCCAAGTCAGTCCCATCTCTCCCCTCCTCTTGGGGAGAGGCTTTGATCAGGGCCGTAGGAAGCCCCGGGGACTTGTGACCTGGACCCCTTGGAAAGCTCGATGTGCAAATGCAAAAATAATGCAGATGAAAGTGAAACAGGTCTAATGGCAAGCTCTGGCCTTCGTTCCCAGTGAAGAAACACATGGGGACATGGGATTCCACCAGCAGGAAAGGACAGGTTACTCTTAGTGGGAAGGAGATCTAGAGCAATGGGTTAGACTATATGGGAGAAATTGAGCGTTCAAGAAGTTCTCCCCCAAAAGAGTGGACTCGACAGAAGTCAATGAGTCAAAATATGTCTACGAATTAATCTCTCATTCTAGACTAGATCAGCAACTCTCTGAAGGCAGGGATCTTTGCCCAATACCTTTCTGTTTTCCCAGTACTCAGCATAGGGCCTAGAACTCGATGAATTTTGGCAGAATGTATATATGTATGGGTGAGTGGATGGATGGATGGATGCATGGATGGGTGGATGGGTAGATGGGTAGATGGATGGACAGATCGGTGGTGGGTGGGTGGCTGACTGGATCAGTGAATGAGTCGATGGATGGATGAACCAATAGATTAACAGATTGATATGCAGGGGGTAAGCAGATGGACAGATGGAAATATGGGCTGATGGATGGATAAAGGATGGGTGGACTGATTCATGAACATATAGATGGCTAGATGGACAAGGAAATAAAAAAAAAAAAGATAAGTGGATGGATGCATGGATTGATGGATACACAGATGAATAAATGAATGTATGGCAGGCAAGATGGGTGGATGGATGGACAAAGAGATAAACAGATGGATGGAAAAACAGATAAATGGATGGATAAACAAGAAAGGTTTGCAAACTAAGATTATATTTCAGACACTGGGCAGGTGTCAGAGGACAAAGATATCTGAGCTGAGAACAGAGCCTCTAGGGGTTTGGAAGAAGCTATGGTACTCAGGAAACTGGGAAGGAAGGGTGTAAGAACTCAAGACCCTCCCCTAGTGGAAGAAAACGCACATGAAGGGACTCAGAGGGAAGGAAAAAAGCAATACCATGTTGAGGGCCCCAACCCTGAGCCCAGCCCCAGCCTGGACAGAACCTAGGCATTGGGGCCCAGGGCCCAGGAAGAGCCAGGCCTGGTAGTGTCAGATCAGAACTCTCAGTAAACGAGGCTGACCCCAGGAAGTGGAGGTCCCAAGAGGCTGCCCCTTCTAGCTCTGACCCCAAGGAAGTGACTGTTGGCCACGTGGGGGTCTCAAAAAAAGCAAGCATTTGTGGGCTAGGGGTGACACAGCCTCGGTAAGGCCTGGGGGTGACAAAGCCCTCCTGTGGTAGAGCCAGCCTTCCTCTCTCCCACCCTCCCTCCAAAGCCCCCAGGGCCACCCCTCACAGTCCCAGCTTCCTCTGGGCAGGGGGCCTGGCCCCCACAGTCTCTCAGGCCAGCCCCTGGAGCACCACCTGCCCCAGCCAGCCCAAGACTTCCTGTAGCACAAGAGATTTATGCAAACAGGCTGGGGCGGTGATGTCACCCCAAGGGGACTATCTCCCAGTGGCAGGCCCTTCGATAAAATCAGGAACTTGTGCTGGCCCTGCAATGTCAAGGAAGGGGGCTCACCTAGTGCTCCTGCAGCGCAGGGGGCAGGCCTGAGCCCTGCGCCCGCCCCGTGTCCGTCCAGCCCCCGACGGGGCGCCCCATCCCGAGGGGCTCTGTAGCGGCCCCCACCAAGGCAGGGGACCGGAGTGGCTTGGAGCTCGGCTGGATGTTACAGGCGTGCAAAATGGAAGGGTTTCCCCTCGTCCCCCCTGTGAGTACTGGGGTTCCCCCCGCCAGCCCGGCCTGGGGCTCGCTCGTTCACCCACCACCTGCCCTGCAGACGGCCAGCCCACCCGCTGCCCCTGGCCCCGCTTTCCGTCGGTGGGAAGTTGGTGTTTCCTCTCTGGAGCTCCTGGCCTGAGACCCAGCGAAAGGGCCATGGGCTTCCTAGGAGCATGCCTGGCGGGCTGAGGGCTGGCCCTCGGTGGGGTTGTGATCGGTGGGGCCTGAACAGTTATTTATAGATGGGCTGGGGGGCAGGCCCGAGCGCCAGGGTAGGGCTCTGGGCTGAGGATGGTGAGGGCAGCGGCAGAGAGGTAGAGGAAGAGCTGATGGGGGGACAGGCGTGGGGGAAATCTGGTCCTTCGGACAGTAAGGAGTTGAGGGAAGGAGCGAACAGGCCTGGGGGACTCCTGGAGACTGAGGTTGAAGTAATTGTGTGTCCCCAACACCCCATACAGGGCCTGGCACAGAGGACATGATTGTTGTTGACCAAAGGATTTGGTTCTCAGACCCACTGGTCCCTGAGAGGCTAAGGCAAGAGGCTAGGCCAAGGGCTGGGCCAACGGGCTGGGGCAGGAGCAGGGTTTGGGGCCGGGGCCAGGGCAGGGACTGGATTAGAGGTTGGGGCAGGGACAGGGTGAGGGTAGAGTTTGGGTTTGGGGCTGGGGCAGGGCTTGGGGCTGGAGCAGAAGACGGGCAGGAGCAGGGAGTGGAGGAGAGCTAAGCCCAAAGCTAAGGCTGAGGCAGGGCCTGGGTTCAGGGAGGACCAGGGTGAGGCTGGGGCTGAGACTGGGACTGGAATTAGGGCAGGGGCTGAGGCTGGGGGTGAGGATACAGGAACCCTGGAGACCCCAGGGAGGAAAGGCCCAGGGAAAGGGCTGCAGGTTGGGGCAGTACCCACGGCTCCCTGCCTTGGTGACAGTTGCAGCTTCTGGCACGGGTCAGACCTGGGCCCTTTGAGAGGACCCCTCTCCCTTCCTCCCCACCTCTTCTCAGGGCTGGGCTGGGGAGGGGTAGCCAGGAAGGGCTGGCTACAGGGCCTGCCTACTTGACTCAGCCTTCCTGGCCAGCCCAGCCCAACCTAAGGACACCCTGGGGAGACACCCCGCTGTGACACTGCAGAGAACCAGGTTCAGTCCTGGGCCCCCGGCCTCCGCACTCAACTGGACACAGGCAGGACTGCCACTGCCCCCATCCCACCCCACCCACCCTTCTTTCTACCCTGGGCCAAGAAGATGGGGGGCTGAGCAGGGGAGATGGTGGCTGGCCCAGGAAGGGCCAGTTCCTCCAGATTAGAGCCTGGCCACACTGTCTCCCACTCAACCTCAACTCTCAACCCCTGGGCTCCAGACAGAGCTGAGCAGGAGGCAGCAACCTCCTGGACGCCCCCCACCAGACCCCTCAGCTCTTCCCCAATCCCAGAGGCTACTTTTGGGTGTCTCCTGAGAGGGTGGGCTCCCAAGACAGTTCTGGCCCCCCAACCCAAGCCCTAAGGGCCAGAGTTAACTGTTGTGCAATCCTAGGGCGCACACTGCGGAGGCGGGGAGAGGCCTGGTGACTGTTGGGAAGACGCCTGAGGGTGCGAGTCCCTGTGGCTATGCCAGTGTGTGAGGGGGAGGGGGAGAAAGGGGGAGGGAAGAGGAGGGAGGAGAGGAGGGGGAGGGGAGGAGAGAGGAGGAAGGCGAGGAGGGAGAGGAGCAAGGAAAGAGGATGACCAGGACAAGCAGGAGAGGAAGAAGGAGGACAGAGAGGGATGAGGCGGAGAGACGGTGGAATGGACTTGAGGGGAGAAGGAGGAGGGGAAGAAGGGAGGAGTGCGGGGAGGGGAGGAATGGGAGGAGGAGGGAGAGGAGGGAAGAGGAGAACCAAGGGCAGGAAGGAGTAGAGGGAGGGAAAGGAGGTGGGAGAGAGAGCATCCCAGGGAGGGGGTGGAAGGAGGAGGGAGGGAGAGCAATCAAGGCTCTGGCCAGCCCCCAGGCCCCCAAGCTGGAGACCCTCAGTGTATGGCAGCCCTGAGCTGCATGGGGCCTGGGTGTAGGCTGTAGCAGGAGGCTGAGGTGCTGTGCTGTGAGGACAAGTGAGGAATGAGTGACCGAGTGGAAGGGGAGGGGTGCGGATATGTGTGTCCACCAGCTTGAATGCAAGAGTGAGTGTGTGTCACTCCACACAAACACATGTGTGTACACCTACAGGGGCTAGTGTACAATGGCTCGTATGTGTGTGGCCACAAGCGTGTGTGTGAATGCGAGTGTACACACAGGTATGGTTGGGGTATACGTGTGTGTGTGACTGTGCAGTGAGTGTAGGGGTGCGGGTGGCTGTGCGGTGAGTGTGAGTACATGCCTGGGTGATAGGCTGGGTGACTGTAGAGCGTGAGTCCACGTGTGAGGCTGTGGGTGTCAATGGGTCGTGGGGAGTCTGGGTCGTGTGTATGTATGTTGAGGGCAGTGGGTGTACTATGTGCGAAGAGGGAGGCTTTATACGGGAGACTGTGTGCACAGGCAGGTGGGAGTGGGAGTGGGAGTCAGAGCTGGGAGGGGGAGTCCTTGAGCAGGTGGAGAAGGCATGATCTCCCCTCAGGTCCTCTTTTGATCTCTGCCCTCCAGGTTCCCTGCATCCTTTTCGGCAGGAGCCAAGGATCTTTCTCTCCTGGGCCCCTGCTCTACTGTCCATTCTCCTGCTCTCTGCGGCTGTGCCACCTCCAGTTCCAAGCAGAAAGAGGCCCCCTAGTCAGGGACTGGTTAGACTTGACATACTGGGGGGCTGCAAATCTGGCCGAAGTCTCCCCACCATAGTCCAGGCCCTGACTGCCTCCTCTCTCAGCAGCCAACAGAAGACCTGGTCCCCTATGACGCAGACCTGTACCAACGCCCACCACACGACTACTACCCATACCTCAGCAGTGATGGAGAAAGCCACAGTGGTGAGTACAGAACCCTCCGGTGTCTCACTACTGTCCCATCCTGGGTACAGAGAGACTCCTGGTCTCCTGCCAGGAGAAGAAAAAAAAGGAAATGGTTTCCAGCTTGCCTTTGGAATTCTGAGAATTGGGTTGAGTCTGCTTTCAGGGGAAGTGAATTCACTGTCCTAAGCCTCCACACTCTCCTAGCCTCCACTTACTAAGCATCGTCGTGTGCCAAGGCCCAAAGTTAGTTTCTTCCACATAAATTTTCTTGTCCATCCTGTGTGGCCTTTTTACAAATGAGGAAACTGAGGCTGGGAAGTTCAGTGCCTTGCCCAAGGCCACAGGGCTGGTCAGTGGAGCCCAGCTCTGTCTACTCCAAGTCTAGGACTTTTTCCTCTGCCCGCACTCCTCTGATTAACCCCTTCTTCTCTGTTCCTGCCACTCCCTGCTGCTGCATCCTAGCCCCCTCCTGTGTGGCTAAAGCTCTCCTCAGCCTCCACACTGTTGACATTTAGGGCTGATCTTTCTTTGTTGGAGGGCTGTCCTGTGTATTGTAGGATGTAAGCAGCATCCCTGGCTTCTACCCACTAGATGACAGTAACACCATCAGCCACGACAGCTAAAAACATCTCCAGACTTTGTCACATATCCCCTGGGGAGCACAAAACCCTTTGATGAGACCTTGGGACTAAGGGAGACTCTGGGGGACCCTGAAGGCCCAGCTTGCTGTGGGCAGAGGAAGGGGCCGGGCCAGGGCATCCTTCTCTCTGGCTCTAGCTGGCCCAGCCTTGCTCTTGGAGCAAATCTAGGAGAGAGGAGGGGACATTAGGTGTTTGGGACGTTGGAAGGGGGCTGTGAAAGGTCACCCAAAATGGGTGTTGGCATATTGAGGTGGACATCCTTGAACGAGAGGGGAAGTGGCCTAGTACTGGGTAAGGTCTCACTGGGGAATTCTCCAGAGGTCTGAGGCCTGGGCAAGCCTGACACCAGGGTGTCTGCAGCCCCAGAGGGCAGAGTGTGCTGGGTGCCACCACTCTGCAATGTTTCACAGCTGAAGGCTACACTTGGGGGTCAGTCACACCCGTAGCTCCATTCTGCAGACGTGCTGACCACACTCAGGCTGCCTCCGAGTAGCAAGTCCACAGTTAGGACTCTCACACCTGGATGCCAAACCTTGCACACAGTTCACCTGGAACTCATACCTGGCCACCATTATAAAGAAAGGGCTCTACCTAGAAGCCAGAAGTTCCTGAGTGGCATAAACGATGGAACACTTGACTACTAACTGACAGGTTGGCAGTTCAAACCCACCAAAGGCTCCTCAGAAGCCAGGACATCTGCTTCTAAACTGTCACAGCCTTGAAAGCTCTATGGAGTGCAGTTCCACTGTGAAACACATGAAGTCGCTATGACCTGGGACCAACTTGACAACAACTGATGCTGGTACCAGTCTTGGGTGTAGGTAGCAGACATACCTTAAGGCCACATCTGGGACACACAAGCTTCTCACAGAACTCCTACCCCAGGGCTTTAAATATCCTCATTCACTCTTTTAACTGTAATTGCAATTACATAAGAAATAAACATCTCTGTGGAAAATCCATCCCACTCTATGTTCAGCTCTCCCAGGCATGATCAAAGGCAAGGTCTTGGTGACCCAGGGTCACACACCCTTTACCAAACACAGTTTGAGGCCCCAAGATGGTCCCTCTGACTTGATGACTGGCGCCCCCTGGTGGCTGCAGACAGCAGGACCACTCAGGTCCCGGCAAGTTCAGTGCTGCCTGGAACCCTTTTTCCTCTGTCCACCACCCCTTTCTGCTTTGCAGCTTTGGGTACATTTATGCCTCCCTTTGGGTTTACCACAGCCTCAGTGTTCCTTCCTATAATGTGAGGGTGCTTTCTACCTATCAAGAAAACAGCTAAGCCCGGAGTGGGGGCTGATGGAGTGTGCCCTGTAAAGAAAGCCCATGTTTTCCTGGCTTAGTGCCCAGGTAACCAATCGTTTCGAGTTGATCCCGACTCATGGTAACCCCATGTGTGTCCCTGTAGAATTGTGCTCCACAGAGGGGTCAAGGGCTGATGTTTTCGGAAGTAGACTGTAGGTCTTTTTTCCAAGGTGCCTCTGGCCGGCCTTGAACCTCCAACCTTTCCACTAGTAGCTGAGCACATTACCCATTTGCACAATCCAGGGATCTCACATCTGGGGCTCCAGGAGTGACTCATGATTGGCTGCCTAAGCACCTCAGTTGGGTCATGAACTGCCAATTCCCCCAGCCATTCCTCCAGTGTCCCCAGGGGTTCCAGGTGCTACCCCCAGTCATTATCCACTCAGGCATCTGACCCCCATCTAAGCCCTTGTTAGAATGTATTGTCTGAAAACTCAGGGTCATAGACACCCTATATCCTTCAGCCAGTTTCTGCCTACCTTCTGCATCTACATTTTTAAGTGGTGAAACTTAATGTAAAGGTTTTGGAGTTGGACCTGGGTCCAGTCCTGGCTCCATCACTCTCAAGCTGCCTAACCTTTGGGCAAGTAACTTAAGCTCTCTGAGTCCCTGTTTCCTCATTGATAATGCTGAGAGCACGAAACTACTTATCCCGTTTGAGTTGTGATAGTTAAATGGGGTATTGCATTTAATGTATGAGGTAACGTAATGTACTGAGCACAGAGCTGGGTAAACTCTTAGCACATAAAATCTCAGCTTTACTGCATCCCCCCACAAGGAGAGATGAAGCAGCCAGAAAAATGGGAGAAGCTGACAGCCACCCACCCAC